ATCACCCCCAACTGCCCTCCCCTCCTGGCCTGATTGCCCCTAACAGCCTCTGCCTTGGCCCCGCCACCATGGCTTTGTCCGGAAGGATGTCCGGAAGGTCTCCTGGCCTAATTAGTATATTACCCTTTATTAGTATAGATATAATTATGATCTTGACGTTTGCTTAAATTTGAAATGATCTCAGTGATGAATCATTAGGATAACCTTGAAAGTTTATTTTAACCTGAATTCTGAATATAATCGTATACCTTATGTTACCCACACTTCTTACCTCTAATAACAAAATTGCCTGTACTGATATCTTAACATTGTTTCCATCATTACCCTTGAAACTTTGCACTCCATTGGCAATAATTTTTTTTGAACTGGAAATAGGAGCTTCCCAGCTGATATTAATATGTATAAAAGGTGCTATCCTAAAAACATTTTTCTCATCTAAACCCTCCATTTCCAAAGAAACCAGTAACATCAGAGCTTAATGAGTTCCTCTTCTAATAAAATACTCTACTGAAGCCGAAACCGGTTTGGCTCAGTGGATAGAGCGTCGGCCTGCGGACTGAAAGGTCCCAGGTTCGATTCCAGTCAAGGGCATGTACCTGGGTTGCGGGCACATCCCCAGTAGGAGATGTGCAGGAGGCAGCTGATCGATGTTTCTCTCTCATCGATGTTTCCAACTCTCTATCTCTCTCCCTCCCTCTCTGTAAAAAATCAATAAAATATATTTTAAAAAAAATACTCTACTGAATACACATTTATGATATGGGTTGATGTATATATTTTTAGATAATTGGGGTCAAACCATTGAATTTTGTTTTCTTGGTGACTTTATCTTTTGTTTTTTAGAACGACAGCAATTCATCAGGGGCAGGTGGACCAGTGAAAATAACAGAAAACCGATCAAAGAAGACCAGTTTCTTCCGGTGTTCGCTACTTTGATGAACTTTTTCTGAGAGACTGCAGCACACCTAGAGGACTCTTTCCTGCTTCTCTGAAAGCACAGGTCACCCAGCCTCAGAATCACACCGCCAGGCTGCTGCTGAGAGCACCACCGAGCCTAGACCTCTCGACACAGAACACCTAGTGGATTCCAGCCACACGGCCTAGCGAGATAACAGGCTCCTTTTTTTCAAACATGGAAGCAATGAAATGGAGACACATGCAAGACTTGTTTTTCTCTTTGTTTTATTGCCTGTTGCAGAAGCTGCTATCTTTTCTTTTTCACTTTGCACATCAGTGTTAGCCTTTCCCTGTTATAGCAGTCTTAGACTCTCACATGCACACTTTTGTCTCATAAAGTTCTAGACAAATTTGTGCTTTGGGGATGTTTAAAACAAGAGTAGAACATTTAAAGCAGAGGTCAATATAACTAAAATTAAAGGACATTTGGTTTGATGTTCATATGGCCAGATGTTATTACATTCATGGCATTTACTTAAGGGCTCTGATTTGTGATTTTCTTAAATAAGAATCATTAAATTCTGATAAAATTTATCTTAAAAATTTATAAAAATGTCCACCTATTCATCATAGGCTGTAATTTTTTTTATTTCTTATTGTTTAGCACTTTGCTTCATTCTTGACTTTTTAGCCAGAGTCTGGGTAGCTGAAGAAATCACTTTTCAGTTGATTCCCTCTGCCTAATCTATAAAAACTGCATTTGGAAATGACCTTAATCTCATTTTTCTTGGGGTTCATATTTGCTGTCTTTTCCTATGTTTGACCTATTGTAATCAGTCAGTTATCTAAAACATAACATATTTGACCATTGTTGTCTGCTTCTAGTTGTGAACTCTTGAGCTGAAATTTTACATGGGCAGAGAGATGTACCATTTAGGGTTTTATTTCAGCGTCTAATTGTGGTTCCATCACATTAGCATACATAATGTATTTTGTCTTAGGTTTACTCCCCGGCTTGCTGATTTAGTTGTAATACCCAATTCCTACCATGATTCCTGTGTACAAGAGTTAACAAGAGTTAATTTAAATTTTAAAGCTTACCTAAAGGAAGAGATATGACTTTTTAACATAAACTTAGTAGAAATAGCTCTTGGGAATGGTGAAAATGATTTTTCGTTCTGTTTTTACTTGGGTTTTCAAACAAAATAAGAATACATAGACTTAGTGCAGCCTCTAGGAAAAGTCTTGCTTTTTCATTAGAGACAATATGAGCAAGGTTTCAGTTTTAAAACAGCTACAGTTGAATGTGTAGAACCCAATTCCATCTGTTCAGGTTTGTTGTTAGAGAACTTGGTCCAGTCATCTGGGCTGAAGCCAACCAAAAGCTTAGCTGTCTTTCTCACCAAACCCTGGAACTGGGATACCTTTTGTAGATGAAACCATCACATAGGAAAAGAAAGGGATTCAGTGTTAACTGTGTGCCAAATTAAGGTCATGATGTCATTGCTGTTATCCTAGCCTTCAGTGTCATAACACAGGGGAGCTACAAAGAGGTGATGAAGGAAATGAATTCTGTTCATAATTATTCCTCCTCTTAGGCCTGTTTTGTTTCACAGAGTTTACCATCATGCTTGAAATTAAGAATTGGAAATGGAAGTGGAAACAGATTGCTTGTTACCACAGAGAATTCTGCTTCAAATTAAGATGTATCATAGGATGCCTGAACCATTCAAACTTTTTGAAAACTTATGCACAATTTAGCTATAGCAAATATAAATATTCCAGAGCTATTTTTGATGGGTACACTAAACATTGTTAACAGATTTTTTAAAAACTTACCTATAGGCTTAAAGGCATCTGTTGGTGCCGAGTATAATCAAGTGGTTCCTTGCATGAAAGTTTGTAAGTCTACCATCTTAAGATTAGATACATCTTTGGAAATAAAAAATAATTTCTTAGAAACATCTTGTATTCACTAATTTTCTGAAAAAAATTCCAAGCAGTTAAGCTTTCTGGAGGGTAACAAAGTAGTTTCTAAAAGGCAAGTGCTATGACACCATGTATGAATGTAATTCTCTTAGTAATTTACCTCTGACTATTTGGTGTCTTAACACTTTGGTTTATATTATCTCAGGGGTTATCTGCAAACCAAAACTATCATATCCTATGGTTAGTTGTGTTTTTTTTTTTTTAACAATGCTTTGCTTTTGTTTTATTCTTTCTCTCTTCTTTTGTCTTATATGGATTAATAACTAGTCTCCATGAAATTCCCTTTGAAAGAGCCGTGAAAGCTAGATGAGTCTAAAGGTGCTCTTTGAAGTAGCAGCAATTTGGGGTATATGCTCTGTTGTATATAAACAAATCGTCCTTGCTATTTTCTTACATTTAGTCTTGCTAAATTGTATATAATTTGAGCTAAGACCATAGGAAATTCACCTGCATGGTGATAAAATGACCCAATAAATATTCCAATTTGCTTAATAATGTACATATAGTGCATTATTTTTTCTATTTGTAGATGAATTTAGTGAGAGATAATTGTCTGTTCCCTGCTGAAACTGAAGAAATCTAGTTTTGTGTGAACATTTCTGTGGTCTATGGGTCAGGTACATGAAGATTTTGCAGCAGTACTAGTGGTATTCAGTGGCTGCACTTTATTGTCAGTGTGCTCATTTCTGCCAATGATTGACTAGACCTTTTCAAATAGAGTCTGAGGGTATCAGACAATGGAAATGTGCTGTAACTTAGCAGCATGAAAATCAGTGGATTGTAAAATGTTTCACTGGGAACTGATTTTAGCTCTATTTTACTTCAGAAAGATTATAAGAAAACAACCCACCTGTGCATCCGTTAGGAGGTGCTGCAGGGTTTCTTACTATTTACATGAACATTTTGTGCAGTCTTGATTATACATTTTCAGAAGACTATACTCTTTACTTTGAAGGACTATTTTTTATTATACCTCATTTAGCTAACTAGTGTTCTAATACCCGGTAGAAAAACAGTGAGCCAGCCTTTATGCATCCAACACAATTTAGATTATATGTTTTGTTTTGAACTAAAGGCATCATTGAGAAAGGTAGGAGGTAGTTTAGAATAGAACATACACGTCATAGCCAATAGTGCAGAAAAGTATTATCTCCCTATCTCCATTAATAAATTTAGCTGTGCAATATAGATAAATGTTTGCAGAAATTTCTAAGAGATTATAACTCCATTTTACAGGTTCTAATGCTGGGAATCTGTATTAAGGCTTATATAAAGTTTTTCCTGTGAACTGTAAGTGATACATTTAAGCAGACTTTCTTTTCTAGTTTATGACTTAGACTTCTTTATAAATTTAGTTCTTAATCTTTAAAGATGAGCTTCTAAGCTTAAAATTTTAAAACAGCACTTCATTATGTTGGTGTACTTGTGTCAGATTGTAAGCAGTCTTTTCTGCTGTCAGGTTTTATAGTTTTTCTTTTAACAGAAAGTACATTCCTTTTTCCTTCTTGTTATAGCTAAAGAAGGGGGAAAGGAATGTCTAAAAATGAAATTCCCTGTCCTAGAGAAACCTAGAGAGACAGGATATGCTAATAAAATTTCAAATGCTAGCACAATTTCACAATAGAATTGGTCTTTTTTTAAAAGACTAATAAAATGAATGGGTGTCAAGCTCACTTGAAAAAAAAATCTAAGTGACTGAAATTTACAGAAATAAAAATTAGCAAACAATTATTTTAGGGATATTTTCAAATTTTACTTCATTTTTTTGAAATAACTTATACCATATGCAATTGCATTTCATATTGCCAACAACTAATAGAACTTGTTTCATTTTCTTACATTTTTTAAAAATGTGAACTTACTAGAATTCATATCTGTGGCCTTACAGATGGGTTTTTATTTTGTTTGCAGCAGTTCCTTTAATGCAAAATACCATTACTCTTTTACTAAAATCATGCCCCCTAATGGAAAAATATCTAGTTTTTCCATAGAATTATCCCACTGCATATGTATTGGTGTTTTTATTTTTGCTCCAACGGCTTAATGTGAAAAGCTCCTGCAGATAAAGTGAGCCTGTCATGTGGTTAGTCTTGTTTAAGCCAATTCATTAACTGTGTACTGATACTGTTGCTGTGTTTTTGTTGTTTTTTAAGTGGATTTTATTCCAGGTGAACTTTTTTTTATAATAATGTTCGTCTAAAATAAAAACTACATAATGAAAATATTCATGACTCTCTGAAATGGGTTGCAGATTCTGAAAATCTTTCTTCGAATTTATAGGTGTGTGACTAAAACCATGGCTGACTTGGGATATTTTAGCAAACTCTCTGACTTAGAGCTGTTTAAAATGGCCAGATCTCCTGCTCATACTTAGTTCAGAATACATTGAGATTATTCTGTGATAGCACTCCAGCCCTCCCTTCTTAGTCCTTGCAAGTTTACTTCTTGTTGTTTTGTTTTCACTTCCAAATAACACGGTTCCAGGGCCCAGCCCTACTGATGTTCTACCATGTGCTTACGCACATCTCCAGTCGTAGCCTTTCCTGCTCATCCCCACAACCACTCCAGACCTTCATTATTCTTCTCACACACCCTACTTCTTTCCTTTCCCTCTGGTAGACAGACCTTTCCTCTCCTGCCTCACAGGGAAGCATCCATCTAAAACCACCCTAATTGCCTCCCCCTCCCCAGCTCCATGGGCAGCTGCCCTCATCCTCAGCTCCCTCCTCTTGTAGCAGATTCATTCCTCCTAGTTCGTGCTTTCTCTCTGCCTCTTCTCTGGATTCATCCCCGCTGCCCCTTTATCCTGCTTCTCAGGGAACTCACAGCTCTTATACCTTCAAACACTTATCCTGTGTGATTCCTTTGCCCTTAGTATCTGAGCATCCTTAACTCTTCCACCCCTTTGCCTCATGTCCTTCTCACCTATTGCTCTTTCTCCTCTTCTTGCCATAGCTAAGCTTCATCCAAGGGTTGCCTATGCATACTGTCTGCACTTTCTCATTTTGCATGTATTCCTCAGCCTACTCCAGTTTGGCTTCCTTCCTATCACTTCACGGACATCATGTTTACAACCGCCTAGTTGCGAAAGTAGCTGGCAGTTTTCTGTCCTTATCTTAGCTAACTTCTTGTCAGCATTTGATGAGTACTATATTGGCCCTCCCAGAAATGTTCTCTTAATTTCTGTGACAATCTTCCCCACTTTTCCAAAATAATTTCATCCTTTTTCACAGCTCTTAAATTTGTTTCTGTGGTAGACTGAATAATGGCCCCCAAAGATGTCCATTCTAAGCCCCTGAACCTGTGAATGTTACTCCATTTGCAGATGTGATCTTGAGATGGGAGGTTATCCTGGATTATCCAGGAGGGCCCTCTGTAATACCAAGGGTCTTTATGAGAGGGGCATAGGAGGAGTTGGAATTAAAAGGAAATGATGTGATGACGGGAACAGGGAGAAAAGGTGTGATGCAGGACTATGAGCCCTGCTAAAGCAAGATTACCTAGCAAGACCATAATTTAGAATGGAAGAAAAAATAAAGAGCTTCCCAGACAAGAAAAAACTGAAGAAGTTCATCACTGCCAAACCAATATTATAAGAAACTAGAGGCCCAGTGCACAAATTCGTGTACCAGTGGGGGTCCCTTGGCCTGGCCTGTGGGATCAGGCCAAAACCGGCTCCCCGACATCCTCCGAGGGGTCCCGGATTTTGAGAGGGAGAAAGTCAGGCCAGGGGACCCCACTGGTGCACGATCGGGACCAGGGGAGTCACGGGAGGTTGGCCAGCTGGGGAGGGACTGTGGGAGGGCTCCAGGGTGTGTCTGGCCCTTCTCGCTCAGTCCCGATTGGCTGGACCCCAGCAACAAGCTAACCTACCAGTCAGAGCATCTGCCCCCTAGTGGTCAGTGCATATCATAGCAAAAGTCAGGCCAGGGGACCCCACTGGTGCACGATCGGGACCAGGGGAGTCACGGGAGGTTGGCCAGCTGGGGAGGGACTGTGGGAGGGCTCCAGGGTGTGTCTGGCCCTTCTCGCTCAGTCCCGATTGGCTGGACCCCAGCAACAAGCTAACCTACCAGTCAGAGCATCTGCCCCCAAGTGGTCAGTACACATCATAGCAACTGGTCCACTGGTTGTCTTCCCCTTGGTGGTCTGTGCATGTCATAACAAGTGGTTGAGCAGCCTTAGTATATCATTAGCATATTACACTTTGATTGGTTCAACAGCCGACTGGTCACCCCTGGTGGTCAGTGCATGTCATAACAAGCGGTTGAGCAGCCTTAATATATCATTAGCACATTACACTTTCATTGGTTGAACAGCCAACTGGTCGACTGGACACTAAACATATTAGGCTTTTATTATATAGGATGTTAAAGTGGCTTCTTTAAGAAGAATAAAAAAATAAAAAATATGAATAAGAAATATTGCTAAGAAAAAAAATTCTCACTGACAAAGGCAAACACATAATAAAAACAATGATTCAACCAACACTAAGGCCAGTAGAAAGGCTAAAAGGCAAAAGTAGGAAAGGAAGATCATGTGTAATTACAACAGCAAATTAAGGGATACACACAAACACACAAGAAAAACATAAACATAAATGTGCAGGGGGTGAATAAAAATGGTAGTGATTCTAGAGCGTGTTCAAACTTAAGCAACTATCAACTTAAAATAGACTACTATAAACATAGCTTGGTATATATGAAGCACATGGTAACCACAACCAAAATCTACAAGAAATAAAGAGAAAGGAATCCAAACAACACTACAGAAAGTCATCAACAAGAGAAAAGAGCAGGAGAATAAGAAAGGAACAGAGCCCTAGCCAGTTTGGCTCAGTGGATACAGTGTCAGCCTGCAGACTGCAGAGTCCCGGGTTCAATTCTGATTAAGGGCACATGCCCATGTTTCAGGCTCAGTCCCTAATAGGGGGCATGCAGGAGGCAGCCAATCAATGATTCTCATCATTGATGTTTCTATCTCTCCCTCTCCCTTCCTCTCTGAAATCAATAAAAAAATATTTTTTTAAAGAAAGGAGCAAAGAACTACAAAAGTATCAAACAATCAGAAAACAATAAAATGGCAATAACTACATACTTATAAATAATTACTTTAAGGACAAAATGCTCTAATCAAAAGATGGATGAATAGCTCTTTCTACTGCTGTTTTGGTTCTGCATATATGTTAACCACACCAAGTGCCTGGTGAAGCTACCACCAGACCAATATTACATGAAATGTTTAAAGGGCTTCTTTAAGAAGAAGAAAAAGATTAAAAATATGAATAGTAAAATGGCAATAACTACAGACCTACCAATAATTACTTTAAATGTACATAAGTTAAATGCTCCAATCAAAAGACATAGGGT